AATGACCTATGATCAATGATCATTAAGAAACATCAGACAACGGCATGAGGTTGAATGACTTCGCCGCGGCAAAAAAAACGGTATTTAGCAGCACCAGATTCAAGCATCTCGATTGGATTTCTCCCGATCGAACAACGAGAAATCAAATTGATCATGTTGTGATAGACGAAAGGCATTCATCCAGTGTTTTAGACGTCCGATTGATCCGGGGAGCGAATGTCGATTCGGACCATTACCTTGTGCCAGCCAAGGTACGCACCGTCTTAATGTAACACGGAAATTTGACGTCGAAAAGCTGCAAACACAACAGATAGCAGAAGCCTACCCGGCTCAACTTACCCAACTGATTGACGAAAGCACCCCTTGTCCCGATAATAATATAGAAGCACAATGGCAGAGAATTGTCCACTCCCTACAAACTGCAGCAAATGTAACACTTGGGTACCAAAGACCATCATCAAGAAATCCGTGGTACGATCAGGAGTGTCGTAATGCTAATGATATGAAAACAGCAGCGTATAGGGCAACCCTGCGGACAGTAGCAACACGTAATGCGATGGAGGATTATCGGGAGAAAAGGAGAGAGGAGAAACGTATTTTCAGAAAAAAATAAGAAAGAGCAAGAAAAACGTGAGCGTGAGCAAATCGAGATGTACAGGAGTCAGAATGAAGTCCGAAAATTCTACCAACGGGGAAAACACCAAACCGAAGGCTTTGGTGCAGGCACATCCTCCTGTAGAGATAAAGAAGGAAACCTGGTGACAGATACAGACCGCGTGCTGAGGATCTGGAAGGAGCATTTTGAAAAACTTCTGGTATCAAATAGTAGCAGTGAAGTGGATACCCCAGAACCAATAAGAGATGACGGTATAGAGTGTATGCCAGATAGCCAAGATGAAGTCAGAATAGCAATCAATCGGCTGAAGAATAATAAAGCAGCAGGTACCGATGGGTTACAAGCTGAACTATTCAAGACTGGTGGTCAGATTCTGGTAAGGAGCATGCACCAGCTGATTAGTACGATTTGGCTAGAAGAATACATGCCCAATGATTGGAACCTCATCATCCTGTGTCCCGTGCACAAAAAGGAGACAAGACGACGATATGTGCCAAATATAGAGGAATACGTATCCTTCCCATCGCATACAAAGTGCTATCCAGGGTATTGTGTGAACGACTGAAGTCAATGGGCAACGACATTATTGGACCATACCAATGAGGCTTCAGACCTGGCAAATCCACCATTGACCAGATTTTTACTCTGCGCCAAATCCTGGAAAAGACCCACGAAAAACACATCCACACATTCCACCTATTCGTCGACATGTTTAAAGCCATGTCTACGTTCGGTATTCCTGCAAAATTAATACGGCTATGCAGGATAACTTTAAATGGCACGAGGATTCAGACAAGGTGATAGTTTGTCGTGTGATCTTTTTAACATCCTGCATCATACGAGAGGCAAAAGTGAACAGAAATGGCACTCTGTGCACCAAACAAGACATGTTACTCGCCTACGCCGATGACATCGACATAATGGGTCGAACACTGAGAGCGGTAAAAACCACCTTTGAACAAATTGAGAAGTAGTCTGCCAAAGTGGGTCTGACAGTAAACGGCGAAAAGACCAAGCTGATGGTATCAACACGTCCAGTAGACTCGGACCAACTCTGGAATTTGAGAACTACAGCTTCGAGGTAGTCAAAGATTTTATATACCTTGGTACCGATATAAATAAAACGAATGACATCAGTTTTGAAATTCGGAGAAGTGATGGCCAACTCTACTATGGTCTGAGCAAACAACTCAAAAGCAAGGCCACTTCCCGCCAGACCAAACTCACACTCTACAAGACGCTGATACTACCGGTGTTGTTATATGGATCTGAAGCAGCTCTTGGAGTGTTTGATAGAAAAATTCTCCGAAAGATCTATGGGTCGATCTGCGTTGATGGTGAATATCGCCGTCGAATGAACCATGAGTTGTACCAGCTATTCTCGGACATCGACATTGTTAGAGGTATTGAGCTGCAGCGACTACGTTGGCTAGGTCATGTTGTGAGAATGGATGAAGATGCCCCAACCCAGAAGGCATATAAAAGCGAACCAGCTGATGGTTCAAGCAGAAGGGGAAGGCCAAGAATACGTTGGAAAGGTCAAGTCGAAGACAACATTGCAAATTGGAAAAACTGCGCAAAAGACCGACGCGCCTGGAAATCTTTTCTAAGTTTGGCTTATGGAACGAAAGTTCTGTCACAAGGCAGCCAAGTAAGTAGGGGAGACTGGGGCACCTTCGGCACTTTTTTTTTAGACCTCTATATCTCAGTACATATTCAACATATATAAAAACTTTATGGCTGATTATTGTCCTCTGACACTTAATTATAAAAAATAGTACCAAAAAGATATAAAAAAATAGTGTAAGTTAAAAAATTTTACAGTTTTATAAAAAAGTCAAATTCGCCGAATGTGCCCCAACCCGGGTTAGCTTCGGCGTTTGATGGGGCACATTCGGCGCCATAGTCATAGCCGGGTATTTGTCATCGCTATCAGTCTGGTTGAAATTCTGATCCCCTAAAGGCTCTATTTGGTTTTAATACGCCACACAATGTTTGAATTATAGGACTTTATTTTCTCGCGGCGGACGTTTACATCTCAAGGTCGCACACACCATCAGAAATAGGGGTTTTCTATCGCATTTTCGTCAATACAAAAAACGAACCATATTAAAGGATTAGTTTTAAAGACAAACTCAAAAACATTTTAAGGAAATAATATTGCACAATCTGTAAATGGCCGAATGTGCCCCACTTTAAAATGCCGAATGTACCCCGAATGTACTTTTTATAGTTTTTCTCATTTTTTTGATCAGTTTTGTAAAAAAAATATATTTTTAAATATTTATATAATAATACACATCGTAGTTAACCACTTTGTAATAATATTACCTTAAAAATTTTTATACACGAAATACTTACGAAATGGAATTGAAATATTACAGAAACATCTATAAAAATACAAAAACCCATGTATCTAAATAAGCTTATTAGCTAGAAATTTCAAACTTTGTGTCAGTTATCTATTTCGATATCCGATACTTCTGTATCGAAACTAGTGATGTACGGTGAGAGCTTCATATCGAAAACGCGATTGCCGAAGGTGCCCCGATGCCGAAGGTGCCCCAGTCTCCCCTACACAAGGAAAAATATTTTTAAAGAATCCACGCCTAAGGATGGACTTGGAAAAAATATTTTTAAAAGATCCACCCCTATGAATCTTCTTAATTTTTAAAATTTAATTGTCCTTTTTCTCGATAATTTTCGCCATGTGCGAAAAGTGTCAAGCGATTAATTTTGCAGGTGCAATTTAGCTAACATTGGTAATGCAACAACAACAAACCAACTATCCAAATAATTTGAATATGAATTCTTAAATAATCGAAATTATCCTGAAAAAAAATATGCGTACGAATGCCAAGCAGGCATTTGAGTTGTATTTTAAATTCCCAACTGAAGTGACCTGAAAATGTCCGTTGCGGATAGACAAAATTTGGAATATTTAAGTGTACAGTATGGGGCCTTTATGACCTTAGGTTTGGATATTGGTGTAACAACGGGACGACGCCGGGGATTACTGAAGTCCGTTTGGAAATTCGCCTTCAATATGTTGTGTACTTTTTATATGCAATATGGATTCGGAAATTTCGTCATACATAGTATTACGGATATTGATGCGATCACAGCCTCGTTGTCCATGTTTAATCAGTGTATCTTGTTAACCTTTAAAGTTTCGCTTATTATCCTCAAGGGTGAAGAGATGTTGAAATTAATATGGGATATGAATATTCTAAGCAGGGGTGGTGAGTATGGAGTAAGGGTGGGGGAGGATGAGATTTTATATCCAAGAAATTTGTGGGTGTATTTTTTCTTCTTCCAGTCAATGCCATGGAATATGAAAAATGGCTATCGGAAAATCGCAATGGCAAATTAATTGCCTTGGGCTATTTCTATGCCTGTTGGGCCGCCGTGACCTGTGTTGCTGTTATACCCTGGATTTTTCTACTCTATGAATATTTTCAAGGGATGGGTGTTAATCTAAGATTGCCATTTCAGGTGGAGTAAGTTGGGAATTTTATTTAAATAATTTTTTCAGGGTCCATTCCAGGGTGGGATTTTTTAGAAATATTTTTTTTTGGTCCATGGTAAGGATTTTATAAAAATATTTTTTTAAGGTTCACCCGAAGGTGGGGAGTTTAAAAAATCAATACGTACATTGAAATTTGTTGAAGATTTAAATCGCCTCTATGGTGAAATTCTTTGGGGTGAAATATCGATGAGCTGTCTGCAGATATGTTTTCTACTCTATTCGCTGGCAAATGATGAGAACTTCGCCAATATACCATTTCATTTTGTTGCCTCGGCGGCCATAACAATGCAGCTGATGATCTATTGTTTCGGGGGGAGAAGTTGAAAAATGTGGTGAGGGGGGCAGAGGGAGGATCAAAAATCGAAGTTCTGAAAATTAATTTGAGATTCATTTCTGTTTAATTCGATTCCGCAGAACGACATGCTTTCTGATGACATCTATATGGCAATGCCCTGGGAGAAAATGTATCCATCGGAAAAGAAGCTGATGCTGCTGCCGCTGTTAAGGACCCAAAAAGAGACTTCGTTGACGGGATTGTATTTCATTATCAATCGGAATTTATTGGTTTTTGTAGGTCCATTAATCAGCACCTAAAAAAGTATTTAAAATTGTATTATTATTCTCTTGCAGATTTTCAAGACGGCCTTTTCTTTTATTACCCTACTTGGGGCCATCAAGGAAGTATAAGGATATTCTTAACCTGCAGCCTTCAATTTTGAATTCAGCACCTTAGGGCACAGTTGTAGATGTAGAAGTTTTAATAATAGATACCACCATAGATCACAGGATACAATTGTGTTTTATTTCACAAATATTTTTCAAAAAATCCCCACCTGAGAATGGACCTTTACAAAAATGTCTTGTATGAAATTGAATGATTCGTTGGTTGTAGATCCCTGTAAGACATGTATGGTTGGAAAGATTCATGCAACACCGTTTCCTAAGCATATTTACTTACTTAGCTGGCTTGTGGCAGAACTTCGTTCTATAAGCCGAGCTTAGAAAAGATTTCCAGGCGCGTCGGTCTTTTGCGCAGTTTTTCCAATTTGAAAGACCATTTTCGGCGCTGTTGTCTTCGACTTGATCTTTCCAACGTATTCTTGGCCTTCCTTTGGAACCTCAGCATCCTGCGTCCCGTGCACAAAAAAGGAGACAAGACGATATGTGCCAATTATAGAGGAATAAGTTTCCTTCCCATCGCATATAAAGTGCGTACTGTGTGGACTACTGAAGCCAATGGTCAATGACATTATTGGACCATACTCATGTGGCTTCAGACCTGACAAATCCACCATTGACCAGATTTTCACTCTACGCCAATTCCTGGAAAAAAACCCACGAAAAACACATCGACACATACCACCTCTTCGTCAACTATAAAGCCGCATTCGACAGCCCTATCCGTTCAGAGGTGTATAAAGCGTTTGGCATTCCTGCAAAATTAATTCGGCTATGCAGGTTAACTTTAACAGGCACAAGCAGCAGAAGTTAATGTCGGAAGGACCTTTTGGTCCATGGTAAGGATTTTATAAAAATATTTTTTTAAGGTTCACCCGAAGGTGGGGAGTTTAAAAAATCAATACGTACATTGAAATTTGTTGAAGATTTAAATCGCCTCTATGGTGAAATTCTTTGGGGTGAAATATCGATGAGCTGTCTGCAGATATGTTTTCTACTCTATTCGCTGGCAAATGATGAGAACTTCGCCAATATACCATTTCATTTTGTTGCCTCGGCGGCCATAACAATGCAGCTGATGATCTATTGTTTCGGGGGGGAGAAGTTGAAAAATGTGGTGAGGGGGGCAGAGGGAGGATCAAAAATCGAAGTTCTGAAAATTAATTTGAGATTCATTTCTGTTTAATTCGATTCCGCAGAACGACATGCTTTCTGATGACATCTATATGGCAATGCCCTGGGAGAAAATGTATCCATCGGAAAAGAAGCTGATGCTGCTGCCGCTGTTAAGGACCCAAAAAGAGACTTCGTTGACGGGATTGTATTTCATTATCAATCGGAATTTATTGGTTTTTGTAGGTCCATTAATCAGCACCTAAAAAAGTATTTAAAATTGTATTATTATTCTCTTGCAGATTTTCAAGACGGCCTTTTCTTTTATTACCCTACTTGGGGCCATCAAGGAAGTATAAGGATATTCTTAACCTGCAGCCTTCAATTTTGAATTCAGCACCTTAGGGCACAGTTGTAGATGTAGAAGTTTTAATAATAGATACCACCATAGATCACAGGATACAATTGTGTTTTATTTCACAAATATTTTTCAAAAAATCCCCACCTGAGAATGGACCTTTACAAAAATGTCTTGTATGAAATTGAATGATTCGTTGGTTGTAGATCCCTGTAAGACATGTATGGTTGGAAAGATTCATGCAACACCGTTTCCTAAGCATATTTACTTACTTAGCTGGCTTGTGGCAGAACTTCGTTCTATAAGCCGAGCTTAGAAAAGATTTCCAGGCGCGTCGGTCTTTTGCGCAGTTTTTCCAATTTGAAAGACCATTTTCGGCGCTGTTGTCTTCGACTTGATCTTTCCAACGTATTCTTGGCCTTCCTTTGGAACCTCAGCATCCTGCGTCCCGTGCACAAAAAAGGAGACAAGACGATATGTGCCAATTATAGAGGAATAAGTTTCCTTCCCATCGCATATAAAGTGCGTACTGTGTGGACTACTGAAGCCAATGGTCAATGACATTATTGGACCATACTCATGTGGCTTCAGACCTGACAAATCCACCATTGACCAGATTTTCACTCTACGCCAATTCCTGGAAAAAAACCCACGAAAAACACATCGACACATACCACCTCTTCGTCAACTATAAAGCCGCATTCGACAGCCCTATCCGTTCAGAGGTGTATAAAGCGTTTGGCATTCCTGCAAAATTAATTCGGCTATGCAGGTTAACTTTAACAGGCACAAGCAGCAGAAGTTAATGTCGGAAGGACCTCTCGGAGCCCTTTAATACCGAACGAGGTTTCAGACAAGGTGATAGTTTGTCGTGTGAACTTTTTAACATCTTGCTGGAAAAGGTCATACGAGAGGCAAAAGTGAACAGAAATGGCACTCTGTACAACAAACAACACATGTTACTCGCCTACGCCGATGACATCGACATAATTGGTCGAACATTGCGAGAAGAAATTGAAAAGGAGTCTGCCAAAGTGGGGGTCTGGCAGTAAATGGCGAGAAGACCAAGCTGATGGTATTAACGCACAAGACGTCCAGTAGACTCGGACCCACTGTGGAACTTGAGAACTACAGTTTCGAGGTAGTCAACGATTTTATATACCTTGGTACCGCCATAAATAAAACGAATGACATCAGTTTGGAGATTCGGAGAAAGATAGTGATGGCCAACCGATGCTAATATGGTCTGAGCAAACAACTCAAAAGCAAGGCCACCTCCCGTCAGACCAAACTCACACTCTACAAGACGCTGATACTACCCGTGTTGTTATATGGATCTGAAGCATGGGTATTTACGCAAGCAGATGAGGCAGCTCATGGAGTGTTTGAGAGAAAAATTCTCCGAAAGATCTATGGGCCGATCAGCGTTGACGGTGACGAATATCGCCGTCGGATGAACCATGAGTTGTACCAGCTATTCTCGGACATCGACATTGTTAGACGTATTGAGCTGCAGCGACTACTTTGGCTAGTTATGTTGTGAGAATGGATGAAGATGCCCCAGTCCAGAAGGCCTATAAAAGTGAACCCTTCAGCTCGTCTATGAAAGACTCCCTTCAGCTCGTCTATGAAAGACTCCCTTTCAGCTCGTCTGTGAAAGACTCCCTTCAGTTCGTCTGTGAAAGAGTCCCTTCAGTTCGTCTATGAAAGACCCCCAATCAGCTCGTCTATGAAAGACTCCCTTTCAGCTCGTCTATGAAAGACTCCCTTTCAGCTCGTCTATGAAAGACTCCCTTCTTCCTCGTCTATGAAAGACTCCCTTTCAGGTCGTGTATGAAAGACTCCCTTTCAGGTCGTCTATGAAAGACTCCCTTTCAGCTCGTCTATGAAAGACTCCCTTCAGGTCGTCTATGAAAGACTCCCTTCAGCTCGTCTATGAAAGGAAAGACTCCCTACAGCTCGTCTATGAAAGGAAAGACTCCCTACATGGAAGAGACTCCCTTCAGCTCGTCTATGGAAGAGACTCCCTTCAGTTCGTCTATGGAAGAGACTCCCTTCAGCTCGTCTATGGAAGAGACTCCCTTCAGTTCGTCTATGGAAGAGAGTCCCTTCAGTTCGTCTATGGAAGAGACTCCCTTCAGCTCGTCTGTGAAAGAGACTCCCTTCAGCTCGTCTGTGAAAGAGACTCCCTTCAGCTCGTCTGTGAAAGAGACTCCCTTCAACTCGTCTATGAAGGAGACTCCCTTCAGCTCGTCTATGAAAGAGACTCCCTTCAGCTCGTCTATGAAAGAGACTCCCTTCAGCTCGTCTATGATAGACTCCCTTCAGCTCGTCTATGAAAAAGACTCCCTTCAGCTCGTCTATGAAAGAGACTCCCTACAGCTCGTCTATGAAAGACTCCCTACAGCTCGTCTATGAAAGACTCCCTACAGCTCGTCTATGAAAGACTCCCTACAGCTCGTCTATGAAAGGGAAGACTCCCTACAGCTCGTCTATGAAAGGAAAGACTCCCTACAGCTCGTCTATGAAAGGAAAGACTCCCTACAGCTCGTCAATGAAAGGAAAGACTCCCTACAGCTCGTCTATGAAAGGAAAGACTCCCTACAGCTCGTCTATGAAAGGAAAGACTCCCTACAGCTCGTCTATGAAAGGAAAGACTCCCTACAGCTCGTCTATGAAAGGAAAGACTCCCTTCAGCTATGAAAGACCCCCAATCAGCTCGTCTATGAAAGACCCCCAATCAGGTCGTCTATAAAAGACCCCCAATCAGCTCGTCTATGAAAGAGACTCCCTTCAGCTCGTCTATGAAAGAGACTCCCTTCAGCTCGTCTATGAAAGAGACTCCCTTCAGCTCGTCTATGAAAGAGGCTCCCTTCAGCTCGTCTATGAAAGAGGCTCCCTTCAGCTCGTCTATGAAAGAGACTCCCTTCAGCTCGTCTATGAAAGAGACTCCCTTCAGCTCGTCTATGAAAGAGACTCCCTTCAGCTCGTCTATGAAAGCGACTCCCCCCATCAGCTCGTCTATGAAAGCGACTCCCCCCATCAGCTCGTCTATGAAAGCGACTCCCCCCATCAGCTCGTCTATGAGAGCGACTCCCCCCATCAGCTCGTCTATGAGAGCGACTCCCCCCATCAGCTCGTCTATGAAAGCGACTCCCCCCATCAGCTCGTCTATGAAAGCGACTCCCCCCATCAGCTCGTCTATGAAAGCGACTCCCCCCATCAGCTCGTCTATGAAAGAGACTCCCTTCAGCTCGCCTATGAAAGAGACTCCCTTCAGCTCGCCTATGAAAGAGACTCCCTTCAGCTCGCCTATGAAAGAGACTCCCTTCAGCTCGTCTATGAAAGAGACTCCCTTCAGCTCGTCTATGAAAGAGACTCCCTTCAGCTCGTCTATGAAAGATGGTTCGCGCAGAAGGGGAAGGCCAGGAATACGTTAGAAAGATCAAATCGAAGACAATATCGCCGAAAATGGTCTTTCAAATTGGAACTGCTCAAAAGACCGACGCGCCTGGAAATCTTTTCTAAGCCCGGCTTATGGAATGTAAGTTCTGTCACAAGCCATCTAAGTGAGTAATATTCGTCTTTAAATTGTTCCCCAAAATAAAAACCGATTTGTTTTTAATAAATTTTCCATATCGTTCTTTATACGGAATTATTTATTTGTTGTTTTTTTTTGTTTCTTTGTCAACTACAATTTAATTGTATTTTGTTTGGTTGTTGTTGTTGTTGTTGTAATAATTAATTTACTAATAATTGTTGTTTATTTTTATTTTTTTAATTGTGGAGGGGTTAGATGTAACGGACGTTTAACTATTTTTTTCTTTGAGATGACATTTTTTTTTATTTGAGTGGATGAACTAAAGCTAAAAAGGATAACAATGAGAGTTCTCTTCTCTTTTAAATTAATTGACAATACATAATAATGATGATGATTCGAGTTGCCAACTATATAAAATTACAATTACAAATGATGGCAATTCTATTGCAAGCAATGCAGTAGTTGGTGGTGATGCCGTTGTTATGAGTGATGATACATTTATTTGGTGTTGGCAACACTAGAAAGCCATGTGCAGGTGACTTGTTGGTGTTGCCAAACAAATCAAAATGGTATTATAGTATAGTTGGCAAGCTTAGTTTGTTTAATTTAAATTGGCAAATCCGTGGTTTGTTTTTGCCATGAGAAAATGGTGGAATTTTTTTTAAAACTAATTAAAATTATTATTTTTTTTTTATTAAAAAATAAATTATTATTTAATAAAATATTATTTGCATAACCAAACTAAATAGGAACATGGTATAGTAACAAAATAGTAATATTAAAAAAATAAAAAAAAATTATTTAATATTTAAAAAAAAAATTTAACATAGGAATTTGTTTGACAAGGTATATCAATCAGTATATAAGCATATCATTTATATTATATCAAATAAATTATATAGTATGTGTGTGTGTGTTCTCTATATTATGTATATATAAATGTATAAAACTTAATTTTTATATATTAATATTATTTATTTATTCATTTTTTTTTAATTTTTAGTATCATGTTTGGTTTTGTTTGGCTGAGCTCTTTATTTTGGTTTAGTTTGGTTTGGAAAAAAATCTGACATGGCCAGAGTGAAATAAATACTGAAACTGAAGTGGAAAAAATTATTTTTAGAGGGTCTCAAGACATTTAGTAGTGAAAATAATAAAAATTAGAAAAAATCGGATATAAGAAACTAGTGATTTTTGGAGTTATGGCAGAAAAAATTATGTACAAGCACATTTCTTATATAAAAAATATGAATTTTTATAAGGTTTTTTATACCAAATTATGAAAAACGGATATAAGAAACTAGTGATTTTGGGGGAAATTTCTACATTTTTGGAATTTTTGCAGAAAAATTGTGTACAAGTATATAAATAATTGATAATTTTTTAAAAATTTGCACAACAAATTCGAGTTTCTTATAAGCGGTTTTTTTTCTAAAACTTTAAATTTTTTATAAGAAACTATGGATTTTTCAACATTTTCTTTTATTTAATGAAAACTTATAATTTTCTCTGTTAATTTTGTGACAAAAATTTTTGAAAAAGCGAAAATTTCGGATATAAGAAACAATAATTATATATATATACCCAAAGTAGAGATTATTTTCACTATAGTTTAATTTCTTATATAAAAATATGCATTTTTATAAGATTTTTTATACAAAATTATGAAAAAAAAATAAAAAACCGGATATAAGGAGCTGGTGACTTTAGGGGAAAAATTTTAATTTTTTGAGTATTTTTGTCATAAAATAATGAGACGGTACATACTATTTAATGATTTTTCAAAAATTTGCACAAAAAATCGAGTTTCTTAGTTTGTTATAAGCGTTTTTTTCATATTAACAAAATTTCGCTTATAAGAAACAACTATTTTTTTCGAAAATATTCACTTCTTATGTGTTTCTGTGATAATGTAGAACATTTTAGGTACAAAATCAAGTCAAATTTGCCAAATTTTGCAAAAATTCGGATATAAGAAACTATGAGATTTTTAAAAAATTTTCAATTTTTATGAAGTTTTGTGATTTCTTATGATATTTGCTGGTCTAAATCAAGTCCTATTTGTCAAGTATGCAAAAATTCGGATATAAGAAACAATGAGACTTTTGAAATTTTAATGGGATTTTATGATTGTGTTTGACATTTGCTGTTCGTAACAAAGGCTAAATCAAGTCTTATTTTTCAAGTATGCAAGAATTCGGTTATAAGAAACTATGCAATATTTGTCAATATTTATGAAAATTTTTCAAAAATTTTCAGTTTTTATGAAGTTTTAAGATTTCTTATGACATTTGCTGTTCGAAACAATGTCTAAATCAAGTCAAATTTGTCAAATATGCAAAAATTCGGATATGAAAAACTTTGAGATTTTTCAAAATTTTTCGAAAAATTTCAAATTTGATTAAATTTTATGACATTTGCTGTTCGAAAAAAAATCTAAATCACATGTAATTTGTCAAATATGCAAAACATCGGTTATAAGAAACTCTGAGATTATTCAAAATTTTTATGGGATTTTTCAAAAAAAAAAAAAATCTGTTCTTATGACATTTTCTGAGATTTTTCAAAATTTTTCAATTTTTATGAGATTTTAATGATTTTTTATGGCATTTGTTACTGAAAATGAAGTCAAATGTCAATATAGCAAAATTTCCTTTTTAAAAAATATGAAAAATTTCAAAAAATTTAAAAATTTCGGATATAAGAAACAATTTTTTTTTCAAGAATTTTCATTTTTATGTGTTACCATGTTTATTTAGAACATTTTGTGTACAAAATTAAGTCAAATTTGTCAAATATGCAAAAATTCGGTTATAAGAAACTATGAGATTTTTTTCGAAAATTTTCAGTTTTTATGGGATTTTATGATGTTCTATGACATATTCTGTTCGAAACAAATTCTAAATCAAGTCTAATTTGCCAAATATGCAAAAATTCGGATATAAGAAACTATGAAATTTTTCAAAATTGTTATGGAATATTTAAAAAAATTTTAGTTTTTATGATTTATGGTTCGAAACAAAGTTTAAATTAAGTGTAATTTGTCGTATATGCAAAAATTCGGATATAAGAAACTATGAAAATTTTCAAAAAATTTCAGTTTTTAATAAATTTTATGATTTTTTATGACATTTTCGGTTCGAAATGACGACGAATTTTGTTACTATTTCAAAATTTCGCTTATAAGGAACTATGAACAATTTCAAAATTTTTTTTAAAAAAAATATTTTTTTTCAAATTTTTAATAAGAAATTTAAATAATATTTAAAAAAAATAATAAAAATTCTTCCAACAATTTTTTTTTAGTTTTGGAGTTCCTTCAACAAAAAATCGGATATAAGAAACTATGAAATTTTTCAAAATTTTTAAATTTTTATGAAATTTAATGATTTCTTATGACATTTCCCGTTCGAAATGACCACGAATTTTCTTAATATAGCAAAATTTCGCTTATAAGCGAAATATATATATATATATATATATATATATTTTCAAAATTTTTTGAAAAAAAATATATATTTTTTTAAATTTTTAATAAGAAATTTAAAAAATATTTAAAAACAATAATAAAAATTCTTTCAACATTTTTTTTTTAGTTTTGGAGTTCCTTCAACAAAAATTCGGTTATAAGAAACTATGAGATTTTTCAATTTTTTTTTTCAATTTATATGGGATTATATGATGTGTTGCGACACTTTCGATTCGAAATGACGACGAATTTTGAGAATATAGCAAAAATTCACTTATAAGCAACTATGAAAAATTTCAAAAAATTAAAAAAAAAAATATTTTGTTTTCAAAATTTCAATGATAAATTTTTTAGCAAAAATTCGGATATAAGAAACAATGAATTTTTTCAAAATTTTTATGGGATTTTATGATTTTATTGCTCAAAATGAAGTCAAATTTAGTTAATATTGCAAAATTTCGCCTATAAGAAACTAAGAACAATTTCAAAATGAAAAAAAAAAAACTTTTTTAAATTTTTACTAATACATTTTAATAATTATAATAAAAAATAATAAAAATGTTTTTTAACAAAAATTGTTTTTAGTTTTGAATTTTCTTCAAACCAAAAATCCATTGATCCCAGTCTCAGTATTTTTTTTTTTTTTGCCATGTCAGATTGTGCTCTTTGATTTGAAAATTTTTAAATTATATGTCTCGAAATAACTCATAATTTTGTAATGGCTATCTCTATATTCTATCAATCAATAGAAAGTTGTGTATAAATATTTTTTATCAATTTTTTTTCCACAAAAAACCGGTTATAAAAAACTTTTGGATTTTCGCATATCGAAAAGTAGTCAAAAATTCTGTTGTAAGAAACAGAAAATTTTTTCAAAAAAAAAAAAAAAAAAAAAAGACATAAGACATAAGACATAAAAAAATCAAAAATTTTCTTTTTTAGATTTAAAAAACATTTTTAAATTAATAAAATTTCCTATAAAAATGGAATATTTATGCAAAAAAAAAAAAAAATCATTAGTTTCTTATATCCGGTTTTTGGAAATATTTGTTTATTATTTTTATTTTTTTTAAGCTCTGAAAAATTCTGCAAAAGTCTTATAACAGCTTAAGACAAGATTTTATTTTATTTCCGTGATTTTTAATTGCTATTTTTTTATTTTTAATTTTTAGTATTATTTTTAGATATTTTTTTTAATTTTTTTTATTTTTTTTTTAATAATTTTTGTATTATTTTTATATTTATTTTTCCATTTTTTAGTTTCATTTAATTTTTTATTAATTTTTGTATTATTTTAAGATTATTTTTTTAACTTTCATTCGATATTTTTATTAAAATTTTTTATTTTTTTATTAATTTTTATATATATTTTTTTTAAGTTTCGTTTGTATTTTTTATTAAAAATATTTATTTTAATTTTTTATTAATTTGTTTTTTGTATTATTTTAGATCAATTTTTTTCATTTCATTTAATTTTTTATTTTTTTTATTAATGAAAAAACTGAAAAAAAAAATAATACAAATTTTTATTTTCAGTTTTTTTCCTCATTAAATTTTTTTTTTATTTTTTTTTATTAATTTTTGTATTATTTTTAGTTCAACTTTTTTTTTAATTTTTTTATGTTTTATTTGATTTTTTATTAAAAGGTGTGCTTAAATTGTAAGATCCCTAAAAAAGAAGAGCGAGCATAAACATGTCCACTTACGAGCTCTCAAATAGTTGAATTTTTTTGATTAATTTTTTTAGTAATTTTTAATTTTTTAAATAATTTTTTCCCTTATTTTTTGTTGACCAACATTTTTTCTCTCTTTGTTGTTATGCTCTTTGTTGTTGTTGTTGTTTTTATTTTTTTTTAATTTTCCTTATTTGATTTTTTTTTCTTTGTTTTCTTATATAAGTAACACATACATGTTTTATATATCTTAAAAAGGCAGATAGTGGACAATGTGTGTGTGTGTGAGAGTGTTTGTGATTATTTCGAGGAAAAGAAACAACAAAACAAACAAAATGAGCGAGTATTTTAGGACAAGTCATTTCAAGATAGTGGTGTGCAAAAAGAGAGGAGAGTGAAGGAGAAACCGCCATATGAAATGTCTTACAAAAAGAGAACAATGTAAGCAAGGGCACCAGTTCCCATGGTTTCCCTGCATTATTTCAAGATCTCTATCACTCTCTGGTTTCTCTTTCTCGCATTCTCTCCCCCTCTCTTTTGTCCCCTTCAGAGATTTATGATGAGGATGTGGATTTTTTGGAACGTCTTCTTGTATTGCCAGGACAACCGGAGGCACTCAACAAATGTAGCTTCCAACCGCCATCCAATGGCAAATGGACATCATCGTGGCACAGTGGGCAACGGGCGGCACCGGTTTTTAATTCTGGAAATAATTTTTAATTTTTTTTTAAATTATTTTGATTTAAACATTTTTTTTTTGAGAATTCATACACACCTCTACAATAGTCCTCCATTTGATGCAGATCATAGAGCTGTTTGTGCACCGATTCCGTACATCTTTCACACATGATGTAGTTGTCCTTAACCTCACATTCCTCTGGAAAAATATAAAAAAAATTAATTTTTTTCAAAATAATTTTTTTTAATATTTTTTTTTTTTTTTGAAAAAATTTTATTTTATTTTTTCAAAAATAAATTCTAATTTGTCATGTATGCAAAAAAATTGGATATAAGAAACTATTTTTTTTTTACTTAAAAATTTTAAATTTTTTCCAAAAATTTTAATTTTTTTTTTTAATTTAAATTTTTTTTAATTTAATTTTAATTTTTTTTTCAATTTTTTTAATTGGTTTCCCAAACTTACTTGTCAAATGATAATTTAATTTTTAATTTAATTTAATTTTTTTTTCAAAATATTTTTTTTTTAATTAATTTTTTTTTTAAAATAAAAAATAATTTTTTTTTCAAAAATAAATTCCAATTTGTCATGTATGCAAAAATTTTGGATATAAGAAACTATTTTTTTTTTCTAAAAATGTTAAATTTTTTTCCAAAAATTTTTCATTTTTTTCCAAAAATTTTATTTTTTTTAATTTATTTTTTTTTAATTTACATTTTTTTTAATTTAATTTTATTTTTTTTTTTTTCAATTTTTTCAAATTGGTTTCCCAAACTTACTTGTCAAATGATAATTTAAGGCAGCCACCTCCAATACCTGACTACATTGGGGACATTTCGTCAAAAATGGGCATGATTTCCAATAGTGCCGATCCAGCTGGGCGGGATCGCCGCTCTGTGAGGACCAATCACAGAATGGACAGGATCTGGAAAAATACCCATTTTTTATTAAAATAATATTCTGTAGTTTCCAACCTCCCCCCACCCTTCACTTACATCACATCGGCCGCCTCTTCAAACGATTCAGAATTCGAATTAGAATTGGAATTTTTTCTCGAACTACTGGCGGATATCATGGACCTTTTCAGCAGCTCATTATACTGTTGCTTGCCATTACATTTCGCATTATCCCGACTACTGCTGCCGCCACTATTATAACCATTACTTGTGCCTGGTTGATTGCCCTGAGCGGCCAATGTCTGACCACTACGACTTTTCAGAATCCTCGTTTCGGAACGACGCATTGGACTGGATTGAGAATTATCAGGTGATTTACATGAAAATCCATAGGGACTGGCACGACTATCCGAGCTGCCACCACTAGCCGCTCCACCCCCTCCCCCTCCACCCAACTGCAAATGCTCCACAGCACTACGATTTGAGGGTGGTGACTGCGGATCACTCGAACTATGACCCGCCGCATATTTATTCGCCTCCAACATTTCTGTCTTCCTCTCCAAATCTAATTTATCGAACTCGGTGAATAGCTGGCGATACAGCAGATTACGCCGCGTTATATCATCATCGGGCGGTAGCTGTTTGCGCACCAGTCGTGGATTCACTTTGTACACCAGTAAAAGTATCCGTTCGGCTACCTTACGCACCGGCTCCGCAGGATGATGTATACCCGAACAGCCGCATTCCGAGAGGGCACGACATGTCAGACCGCTATGTTTATCGGTGCTAATACCCTGGCTGAGCACCAGCTGTTCCAACATTTGCATACGACTCAGGGCCAGACGGGGATGGGTACCCGAGCTAACGGTCCGTGACAGGGCTGGCGCAACCAAATGTTGTTCAGCCACTTCGGGGCACGAAGCCATACTGAGAATGGTGTGTTGGGCCAAGGTGTGTATTCGCGCCGAAGGGTCGCCTGACTTGGCCAACAATTCGGGCAAGAGGCGATCAACACAACGAGCCACCTCGCTTTGTGACACCCGTCCGGGTACATATTCCAAGAAGAGAACACGCACCGTTTCGGTGGCCTGATTAAATACCGAATAGACAGCATCACGTACGGCACGATGTAGAAGGAAGGCAGCGCTACGGGCGACCTTATTCGGGCCGGCAGTATTTTCGGTATTGGCCGTGCCGCCACCGCCAGGTGCTGGGGTTTCCGTTTCCTGACCCTTGAGGAAATTGCGTAGGCGTACCAGGCCATCTTCACGATCTTGAAATTGACGTGAATAAAATTGTTCGACCTGAAATTGGAGAGAAATAAAAAAATGAGACCCTTAACAATAATTTTTAAAAAATCCTCGCCCTGTTGTTAGACCCTTAAAAATAATTTTTAAAAAATCCTCGCCCTGTTGTTAGACCCTTAAAAATAATTTTTAAAAAATCCACGCCTTATAGTAGGCCCTTAAAAATAATTTTTAAAAAATACACGCTTTATAGTAGGCCCTTAAAAATAATTTTTAAAAAATCCACGCCTTATAGTAGGCCCTTAAAAATAATTTTTAAAAAATCCACGCCTTATAGTAGGCCCTTAAAAATAATTTTTAAAAAATCCACGCCTTATAGTAGGCCCTTAAAAATAATTTTTAAAAAATCCACGCCTTGTAGTAGGCCCATAAAAATAATTTTTAAAAAATCCACGCCTTATAGTAGGCCCATAAAAATAATTTTTAAAAAATCCACGCCTTATAGTAGGCCCTTAAAACTAATTTTTAAAAAATCCACGCCTTATAGTAGGCCCATAAAAATAATTTTTAAAAAATCCACGCCTTATAGTAGGCCCATAAAAATAATTTTTAAAAAATCCACGCCTTATAGTAGGCCCTTAAAAATAATTTTTAAAAAATCCACGCCTTATAGTAGGCCCTTAAAAATAATTTTTAAAAAATCCACGCCTTATAGTAGGCCCATAAAAATAATTTTTAAAAAATCCACGCCTTATAGTAGGCCCTTAAAAATAATTTTTAAAAAATCCACGCCTTATAGTAGGCCCTTAAAAATAATTTTTAAAAAATCCACGCCTTATAGTAGGCCCATAAAAATAATTTTTAAAAAATCCACGCCTTATAGTAGGCCCTTAAAAATAATTTTTAAAAAATCCACGCCTTATAGTAGGCCCTTAAAAATAATTTTTAAAAAATCCACGCCTTATAGTAGGCCCATAAAAATAATTTTTAAAAAATCCACGCCTTATAGTAGGCCCATAAAAATAATTTTTAAAAAATCCACGCCTTATAGTAGGCCCTTAAAAATAATTTTTAAAAAATCCACGCCTTATAGTAGGCCCTTAAAAATAATTTTTAAAAAATCCACGCCTTATAGTAGGCCCTTAAAAATAATTTTTAAAAAATCCACGCCTTATAGTAGGCCCTTAAAAATAATTTTTAAAAAATCCACGCCTTATAGTAGGCCCTTAAAAAAAAATTTTAAAAAATCCACGCCTTATAGTAGGCCCTTTAAAATAATTTTTAAAAAATCCACGCCTTATAGTAGGCCCTTAAAAATAATTTTTAAAAAATCCACGCCTTATAGTAGGCCCTTAAAAATAATTTTTAAAAAATCCACGCCTTATAGTAGGCCCTTAAAAAAAATTTTTAAAAAATCCACGCCTTATAGTAGGCCCTTTAAAATAATTTTTAAAAAATCCACGCCTTATAGTAGGCCCTTAAACATTAAATTTAAAAAATCCACACCTTGTGTGGGAGACCCTTAAAAATAATTTTTAAAAATCCACGCCTTATAGTAGGCCCTTAAAAATAATTTTTAAAAATCCACGCCTTATAGTAGGCCCTTAAAAATAATTTTTAAAAAATCCACGCCTTATAGTAGGCCCTTAAAAATAATTTTTAAAAAATCCACGCCTTATAGTAGGCCCTTAAAAATAATTTTTAAAAAATCCACGCCTTATAGTAGGCCCTTAAAAATAATTTTTAAAAAATCCACGCCTTATAGTAGGCCCTTAAAAATAATTTTTAAAAAATCCACGCCTTATAGTAGGCCCTTAAAAATAATTTTTAAAAAATCCACGCCTTATAGTAGGCCCTTAAAAATAATTTTTAAAAAATCCACGCCTTATAGTAGGCCCTTAAAAATAATTTTTAAAAAATCCACGCCTTATAGTAGGCCCATAAAAATAATTTTTAAAAAATCCACGCCTTATAGTAGGCCCATAAAAATAATTTTTAAAAAATCCACGCCTTATAGTAGGCCCATAAAAATAATTTTTAAAAAATCCACGCCTTATAGTAGGCCCATAAAAATAATTTTTAAAAAAACCACGCCTTATAGTAGGCCCTTAAAAATAATTTTTAAAAAATCCACGCCTTATAGTGTTATAGAAAAATTCCGATGATTCAGTTCAGTTAGAAAAATTTTTAAAACATTTATTTGAAAGAAAAATAATTTGAACTCAATGGTATGAATGACTGAAACAGAATGAAAAAATTTCTTCTTGAAAATATTAATATGACATAAAATATTTTCAAGGCCTACTATGCTATAATATAATGATATAAAACATAGTAAAAAGTAGTTGAGTTGTTTCATATTCAATTTATACAACAAACTCTACCTCAACTCAAATACTTTAAAGATAATTAAAATTCAATATTTAATTTTAAAAGTTTACATGCTGCTATATGCTTTTCTTTAGTGAGTGGTTTGGTTAAAATATCTGCTACGTTTTCAGAGCTTGCTACATATTGAACGTCCACTTCATTTGATTGATATTTCTCCCTCACGTAGTGATAGCGTATGTCAATGTGCTTACTGCGTTTTTGTACACTGGGATTCTTGACTAGAAATTGAGCACCTTGATTGTCACAGAAAATGATGGTAGCTTTCTTTGTATTTTCATTTAGTCCAATTTCATTAAGAAGGCTTCTTTGGAATGAAACTTCTTTAGTTCCTTGGCACAAAGCGACGTATTCTGCTTCCATTGAACTCAAAGATACAGAATGCTGCTTTTTTGATTCCCACGATATAGGTCCACCGGCCAGAAATATAATAAATCCACTGTACGATTTTCGATCCGCTGTATCTGCTGCCCAATCTGAATCTGTGAAGCATATTAATTCGTCATAACATTTTGAATACTTTATTGATGTTGTTTATGGCAATGCCATGAACGGCGTTCGCATAAACATGAACGGCGTAAATAATAAAATTAACAACGGCGGCAAAAAATGGTGGTTGGCGGTGGGGTTTTCTTTTATTTAAGTACCCACACATACACAAAACTAACGGACCCTACATTCAGCTGACCAAAACAAAAACAAAACAAAATGATATTTTGCCGGTTCTGTTGCCCTTTGATTTTGGAAAGGGCAGTTCAATTTTGGCAACCGAAAAGGAAAAATAAGTTTTCGTGATCCCCCCTCTTGTGAAACCAAACATACATACATACATAAAACAAATAAAACAGAAAATTACAAAATACATAAATTATTAAACAAACAAAAGAAAAATATTACAAAGTGTCATACACATACGAATTTTACAAACAAAAATTGTTAAAATTACGAATTAAGTTTTACAAAAACAAAAAAAATTGATTGTACATAAAAGTAAACTACACACACACACATGAAATTACAGATATTAATAAATAACACAAAACAACTGAATTATACCACAAAACAATATTAAAACTTAGCCTAAAAATAAATAAAATAAAACAAAGATTAGAATAAAAACTAAATTAAAACCTACATATTGCACCTTCCCAGAAATTGTAAAACTATATATTGCACTTTCCCTATAAAAATATTGGAAATAAATTACCTAACCTAAATCTTAAACTATCATTGGAATTGAATTACTTAACCTAAATATAAATAAAAATCTTTGGAACTTAAATCTACCTAACATAAAAAAGTGTATATATATGAAATAAATAAAGTTAATTTGTGTATAGTTTTCTAAAAATTAAAAGATAACAAATTAAAGTTTTTAATTGGCATCAACAGAGGTAAAACCCCAAACATTAAATGATCCTGTCGAGCCAGATAGTGATTTTTTAAATTAATAAAAAGTGCTAAAAAATTGAAAAGTGGTTTAATTATAAAAGTGAAAACGAACAACAAAGGATATACAAAAAGTAATACAAAAAGAAACAAAATAAGGAAATTTAAAAAAGAAATAAGAAAAAATAATTTATACAAAAAAAAAAAAAAAAAAGAACTGTGAGAAAAACATTAAACAATCACAACAACAACAATCAGCAACATCACAAAACAGAAGAATACAATAGTGGACAAACCAAGAAGAAACAACAAGACACACACACAAGCACATCAGAGATTCCAGCGTACAAAGTGAGTACCAATGAGATTCTGGTTTTGAAGAGTGAATTCGAAAGAAAGGAATACAGGGTGCGGCGAAAATTGACACCGACACTGTACCTTTGAAGAATAATCTCTAATTTTGATACAATTTGACACCCTTTGAAAAAGACCCACATTTTTACAAAATTTGTTGGATCAAGGACTGAAGTTGACCCTACCCTAGCGATTTTTGGGAATACACAAATACGTCCGCATTTACACACACAGACACACCTAGAATTTTTTTACTGGAAAATTTGGAAATATTGGAGTGACTAAAACATATTTGGAAAGACCCTGTGCTTTTTCAAATACAAAGATAACCTAAATAATTTTTTGGAAAAATTGGAAAATTTGGAATTTTTTTTTGTATTCTTTTGGAACGCTAAACCCTTGCTTGTGTGCATATTTTTCCAACAAATAATATATCCCCCGCCATTTTTTTGAAAAAAAAATCGCGCCTGGAAACAAAATCTTTAATTACACAAACATACAAAACACATACAATTGAACATTTTGGAAAAATACAAAAAAAATTATTTGCAATCTTTACATAAGCGCCATATTATATTTTCCATATACAACAATTGGAAATTTTCGGAAAGAATAATATTGATTTACATTTTGAAAAAAATTTACATTGATCCCGTTGGTGGAAAAAACTCTAATTTATAACCTCAAAAAAGTTTAAATTTTTGTTTTTGCCCATAACACATTTATAAATGGGTTACCTTTATTAACAAACATTATATATGAATTTTGAACATTTATGGTATTCGCAAAACTCATCAAAAAATATTTGAACATACATCGCAGCGTCCAGAGATTTTGTTGACTCAGACAAAATTTTCAAGACCCAAAGTTTAAATTTAAATTAATTTTCTTTTCGCAATAAATAATCATATACGAGGATAACCCATCACAATTTAATTAGAAAACAGATTAAAACATTTTTATTTTATTCTGTTTATTAAAAACTGTGGAAAAATCACCACATTGTTTGGTGGACAAGCAATTTTAATTGGCAATTTTTTAAATAATCCTAAACTTTGTTGACCCTGATATTAAAAGAAAATTGTTTATAATTTTTTTCTTTCAAATTAATTTTGGAAATTTGGATACGCTGATACAAAAAGTTTTTGTTGATTTGAAAAAAAGGCCCTTCACAAAAACCGAAGTGACTTCTTACATTATTATTTTGCTGCTACAATTTAAAACATTTAAGCTGTTTCCTCTCATGGCAACCCAGCAAACATTTCTATTTTGATTCAAAATACAAAAAAGTTGTTCTTCCTGATTTAAGGATTCTTCAATTTTCTTAGCCCAATTGGTCTGGTTACAAAAAAAATAATTATTTTTGAAAAAAAAAAAAACATTTTTGTTTATTTCAAAAGCTTCGCTACTTTAAATTTTTCTTAGAAAAAAATATTTTTCTACGTCTTTCATTCGGAAAACTGTCGATAAAAATAATTTTTCTTCTCTTCTACCAATCTCGATTGTAATTACAACAAATATTTTCAACTTACACATATTAACTGTCGTTGATCAACTCAGTTGGAGTATAACGTCAAAATTTTGAGAAGTCAAAATTTTTTGAATTTGTTATAACCCCACAAAAAAAAGTTTGTCCTCGTCATTGGGCAACTTTATAACATTTTTGAGAAATAAAAAATTACCATAAAGTAAGACCCTCTCGACTACAAGATGGATAAAACCAAACGCGAAAAATTTTTAAACTGCGTCAATGATATGCAGGATTATGCATCAATTTTATGTATCGCTAAAGCTGATGACGACATAAATGCGTTGGAAGTATCACGAGATGAATTAAAATCATTCTATGAACAGGTAAAAATCGCATACATGGAATGCCGAGATTATGTTCCAGAAGAAGGAGAAAAACCAATCGACAAGAATAAATTAAGGACCCACTACTTGGAGGCGATCGACTCATATAAAAAGGCGTTTGGAGCTATTAATGGACAAATAAAGTCACTAAAGGAAGAAAAGGAGGCAAAGGAAGAAAAAACAAAAAGAGAATCCGAAATAGCGCAGAGATTGAGTACGGATGTTGAATTTGCGCCAGTTTCTAGGTTACCACCCTGCGACACCGACACTTTCTCTGGAGGTTACAATGTTTGGCCGACATTTCGAGATTTATTTACAGCAATATACATAAAGAACTCAAAACTAAGCAATGTGGAGAAACTTTTTCACTTGACCCAAAAAACAACGGGCGAAGCCAGAGAAATTATAAGTCACGTCCCACTGACAAATGATGGATTCGAGTTAGCGTGGAAAAATTTAATCGATAGGTACGAGAATCAAAGGATGCAGGTGAACGAGCAGCTGAAAATATTATTCACGTTGCCCCATGTTACCACAGACTCGAGTTCCAGCATTCAGAAGTTACAGCGAACAGTAAATAGCTGCATACAAACACTAGACACATTGAAGGTGGAAGTTTCAGGATGGGACCCAATATTAATATATCTTTGTTCCAGCAAACTTCCAAGACACTTTTTAGAAGACTTTGAAAATTCCCTTGGAGATTGTAAGATCCTCCCATCATGGGAGGAATTTGACAAATTTTTGACCCACAAATTTAAGACTTTAGAGTCTGTAGGAAACATCAAACCAAATTTTTCGAAAACAAATCAAAACAAGTTCGAAAAGAAATCGAAGTTTTCAAATAGTTTTCATACAAATATCCATCAAAAATCCGAAAAACAGAATGTAGGATCTTATTATAATGCAAATGTTTCTCAACCACCTAAGACTCCAATTCAAAATAAGTGCCAGATTTGCAAAAATAACCATTTTATACGAGATTGTCCACAATTTATCGCTAAAAACGTGAATGACAGAATTCATGTTGTAAAAATATCCCATCTTTGCTACAATTGTTTATCCGCGAACCATGGAGTGAAAGAATGCAAGAGCCGTTTTGGATGTAGAACGTGTAATTTGAGACACCACAGTATGCTACATAAGGGAACGGAGACCCAAAACATAGTTAGGAATGAAGTTCATCCTAGTACTAGTGCTTCAGCGCTCACAACAACCATACAGTCCACAGAACCAACAAATATTACAACTTTGACCCTTCAGGACCACAAAACTTGCGAATATAACCCTGGAGGAACACTGCTTTTTACTGCTATCGTACAAATAGAAGCACGAGGACAATCATACGATGCCAGAGCTATCATAGACCCTGGATCACAGTCAACGTTCATAACAGAAAAAATTAAAAACAAATTGAATTTACCTACAAAGAGAAACCTTGTTCACGTTACAGGCCTTAGTCAAACAGTTTCAGAAACATCCACAAAATCTTGTTTATTTACCCTTCGTTCTAGATTTGAGCCAAAATTTGAACTCGATGTTTGGGCACCCGTACTTAAGACCCTTCCATCAAATTTACCATCACAGAATATCGAGAAGAATAAATTCATAAATATTGTAGGTCTAAACTTAGCAGATCCCAAGTTTCACATTAGCCAACCCGTCGACCTACTTATAGGGATGGATATAGGACCCTTAATTTACAAAATTAACACACCTATGAAGGCAGTAGGATCATTCCTAGCTCAAAACACGGTATTTGGTTG